AAAGACACTTCCCTCCAATAAATACGTTTTGAAGTCTCTGGATCAAAAAGAGGCTCTCTGATCTTGATGTAACGTCCGTTCAACGATTTAGGCATATGCTCGAACGGAGGAGTTTGTGTCCTAGCTGGATAACGGAACGGAATCAGATTCTTCAACGACACTTGCTCCTCCGTTTTCCTCTCGTTCTCCGGCACCGTCGCAGACGACAATATTTGATAAGAACCCAGTTTCTGTATGTGTGTTTCTGGTTAGAGTACTGATTGATTTCTGCTTTTTCCCCCAAGGTTTTGGAGTAATTAATGATTAAGGATAAACAAGAAAATGGTTTTTGTATATATATACAATTTTGGAATTAATCAAGATTGGATTAGGACTTATAAATACTAGTTCAAGTGGGATTTTGATGGAGAAGAAGAGCATAACGTGTGTTGTTAGGGTTTCTATCTGGAATGTTATGTGAAATTTACAAAGCTAGATTGGATTATGATTGGAGATCAATTAGAGACGAGTTAAATCTTTAGAAAGGGTCGTTTTTTTTAATTAATCCCAAACGATATGCCATTAGGATTTATATGAAGACTTATTTTGAGCTTTTTATTTATTCTTATAATGAAGATTTATTTTGAGCTTTTTATTTATTCTTATAATTATCCAATAAGAAAGATTACTTGTTTTTTTTTTTTTTGCTTCGTAAGATTTGAAACTATCTTATATACGACCAACAAAAACAATGAAATATATCATATATTTTTATAATAAGAGAACATTGTTTTCTCCTTACAGTTGTGAGTCGGAAAATTGGCATGGTCAAGCTGCATACATACACCTCAAGTGACTAAAGAGTAACAATTAGCATCATCCAAATATTACTTCATCATTCCAAATGACTCACATGATCTTAGCTCCAAAATGTGGTATGACCACATCATATAATACGTGTAGATGACTGTTTATGACGTATATTTTTGCTGTTAAAATATTTTAATAATGTAAAGGCAACAATTTTTATACTTGGTCGAATTTTATTCGAGAAATATGATTACAATATGAAGAGATATATATGTTTTTTACACAGCACTTGAATAATAGATTGAAATCGATTAGTTGATGACATTATTAAAAGCTTAAAGTTTCATCGTACAGAACAATTTCGTTGGCTCATATATATGATATGTCCTACATATTACAGATATACAACTTTTGAAAGTGTAAACTAATTTGAAATTTCCTGATTAATATAGTTGATCCATTCCAGATAACCTAAAAGATACTTTTTATAGATAGCTCTTTTTATATCAAACATATTAGATTGAGTATGGTGCTAGCTAGCGTCGAGTAGGTGAACTGGAAAAACTAATAAGGGTATAAGCTCTTTTGCATCATGTATGAGATTTGATTTTCATAAATGATGTGAAGTAATAAAGCTAAATTTATCAGAAATACTTATATGGCCGTACGTGAACTATAGTTGGAGGTCAAGGAAACCGCGTCCATGGAGGCGTGGTGGCCGTGGTCAAATCAACTAAAATACTTAATAGAGTTAGCTCTTCTCTTACTCTTCTCAACATCTCTCTTCGTTGCTTATTGTAAAAACTAGCTCATGTCTAAGTATAAACTATTTTAACCTTTCAAACTGTATGACCCAAAAAAGCCATATAGCCTTGTAATTTTATTTTATGCACTTTTAATAGAAAACTTTTTTGCAAAAAAAAGTAAAATGAAATATATACTTATATATGGCATATTTAAAACGGTTCATTATATATGGCAAAAAGCAATAAAACTATTTTTCGCAAATTTTATAGTTTTTTTTTTTATAACTTAGGGTAAATCTTAGACCAAATATCCAGACTAATATGATAAGCCTCTAAAGGGATTTACACGTGGAAAAAGAGAAGAGTGATGAGCTGGAATCACTTGGTTGGTTGGTATGTTTGTAACAGAGCAACCCCTCTCCTTTATAAGGAGAGTCCTAAGATTGAGTGGAGTATTAAGTTTCTTTAGCATCTCAGTTGTAATATTCTCAAAGAAAGAGAGTTTCGTTGGTTATTTACATCGAAAGTCCTATCAAGTGGTGCGGTGAGCCGTCTTGAGATGTCGCGGACGAAGAAAGTTCTGAATCCAATCACCGGAGCGGAGTCGCCGGTAATCGATCTCGCCGATCGAGTGGAGGAAATCGCCGAGAAGCTAGATTCATCGATAAAAGAGACAAGGAGGCGTCTAGATTCGATGGAAGCTGCGATCGAGGAGATTTGGAAGCTGGTAATGGGAGAGAATCGAAAATCGGAGACATTGAAGGTGCAGAGGAGAGAAGAAGCGATCTCATCGGTGCAGATTCATCAGGCTGATGATCAAGAGGTGCAATCGATTGAAGCAACAGAATCAAGAAAAGGGAAAATGATTGAAGAGAAAGACTCGAACTCGGTGGCCGAATCATCTATTCAAGAGAGAGAAGCAAGTAATGAGATGGGATCGATGTCTCATGTCTCAAATCAGATAGAATCATCACAACATAAGGTTTGTTTATCTGACTTGGAACCTAACTGTCGAGTTTCCAATGAATCACGAGACGTTCTTGTGGAATTCATATATGTGTTCGTGAAGAACAATAGCTTGTTGTCAGAAGTTAGTGGGTTTATCTTCGATGAGTCCCGATCTGTTCTTGGTGTGAGTGTCTCAAAAACGGGAAGGAATACATGTTTTACATGTTGACGACGTTGTTGGTTTGGGGTTGAGACACAAGAAAGAAGAATGTGGTTTGTGCAAGACAAATTATTTTTCTATGTGGCATTGTTGGAGACACAAGAAACTGCAGAAAAGTCGACGGATGCTACTCTTTTTCTTGCAACAAAATGAGTAAATGAAGATTTGGTTGGTGCTACTACAAAAGGGAGTTTGGCTTTTATCAATGCTGTTTGGGATTGTCGCATCTGAATTGGTGATGAAAGTTGAGTTCCATCTACAATCTGATTTTGGCATGGATGCTTCACAATCTGGTTTTGGAATTTTTAGGCTCAAGACTACAAAGAGAAGAACCGTAACAGAGGATGAGGAGAAGCATTCACACTATGGAAAGATAAAGGATAACGTAATGCAGACCAAGTCTTTGGAGTTATCTGATTTTATTCTAGACCATGGTTTACAGGAGGATATAGTGTCAATCTTGGCCACATATCCTGTTATACAACCTCAGCAAATGGAGACTTCAACTTGCGAGGATCGCCAAATGGCAACATGGACTTGTTCCAATGGCTAATAAGATCATTTTCAGTCACATATCAGTTCGGCTTTTGCTCCTCCAGAACAACATTTCCACACTTTACATGAGGATGTGATGGTTGAGTTGATGTATACATCACCAACTGCTAGTGACAAAAACAATGCTTCCATGGTGGTTCATATGTCTTCTACGACAGAACAAATGCGAACTCAGCTGAAGCAGAGGATGTTCTTTCACTCATGGCGTTTCAAGTCACGGATTAGAGGGGTCCAAAAGTATCTCATAATAGTGCTTGAAGATAAGTTTTTGTTTGAGGAATCAAAGAAAGTTTCTATTCACAAAGATGATGTTGCACGAATGCAGAGATTTCTTGATGTTCCTTTTGGAATATCCTAAGCGAGGGAATCTCTTGATGTTTATATTCACAAAGATGACAGCTGCTGGTTATGAGGTGGAAAACATTTCTGCAACAAGTCTTGGATTAGTATGAAGAAGCTAAAATCCAATCTTCGAAACAGCGATTATTTCATATCCATTGGCGGGGGTTTTTGGCAATAGTGGCACACAAATGGGAGTGGGAAGCTGTTGTTTTATACCAGTTTGCTACTATGTTTCATATTGTGTTGCTGAGATTGATTCATGTTAGCTTGAGGACAAGCTGAATCTCACGGAGACGTTATTGATAAGCCTCTAAGGCTATGTACAATGGGGGGTTGAATAATTGTTTTCAACCGTTTAATAGATGCAATGAGGAGTTGAAATTTGGTTAATAGATGCAATGAGGAGTTGAAATTTGGGTTGAAATACACGTGGATTAATTTCAGTTGAAAAGATTCAACCGAATGAAAGAAGAAAAAATGAGACACGTGGCATGTTGTGGTTGGAGACAGAATTTGTGGGGTTGGAGTGAGAGAAAGATTGATAATTTGTTAATTTTTATTGGTTGTTGAGATTTTTAATATTTTTTATCTATCAATTATTTCATTATATAATTTTTTTTTTATTTTAAAATTACCAAAATTCATCATTTTT